CTAACCTTAGGGGATACAAGAACTCTGGAATTATTTTAGGAATGATCATGGAAATAAGTGTGTGAGAGATTACCTTAGAAAATGCAAGAGAAAAGAAAAATCAGTTCCATTAAAAAAAAGAAAAGAAGAAATAAAGAAAAAGAAAAAGTAAGCAATAAAAAGGGAAAAGAGCATTGGATGACTAGCAAAAGTAAAAGAGGATTGTTCTTGGATTGTATTACATTATATCTTTGTTTAGGGGATTTACTTTCATGCTTACTTTTTTTGGATTCATTCCCCATTGTTCTTATATCCTCTTTGGTTTTAACTTGATTACCTTTGTAATTTTTTCACCTTCATCATGTCCCTTTATAACCTAGCAAAGTCCTCTTGATTTTTGTGTGTGTAAATTCTAGAGGGGCAATGGGCAATCTTATGGTTAATCATGCTTCATGTTGTGCATTTTGAGTGATACACTTTATCTTATACACTTGAGTGATTGAGAATATGTCATGTGAGGATTCTATCTTTTATGGTTCATTCACTTGGTTTGATGAGTTCATTTGTAAATTTGGAGTGTGAGAATTGATTTCCATTTTAGCCATGATATTTGAACTTGATAGAAATTTTGCATACCTTAATTTGTTTTAGGTTCCCTATGATTTGATTTTGTGATTTGTCCTGGAGGGCAAAGTCTTAAGTGTAGGAGAATTTGATGTGACATATTTTAAGTTTATATTTATAGTTTTATTTTGATTTATAAATACTTTTAATATACTTTTTTTTAGAGTTTTTACCATTTTCTACTCATTAGAATAAATTGGGCATATTACAAATAAATACTTTAAATTCATATTTTTTGGTAATTATGACCTCTGATTACTCTTTTGGCCATAAATTTTTTTACAGATATTATTTTTGGCTGATTTTAGTTGCATTAGATTCTACACATCCAGGGCTTCAAAATGCATATATAGATCGCTGAATTTAGAGTTGATTTCAATTTTTTAAGTTGAGACAGATTTGCTGATATTGTTGCGAGATTGCATTTGGACCCCTTGTTATTAGATAATTGTATTTGGGCTTGTAGTTATAATTAAGGCCCGAATTTTGGCCATTTAGTTTACCTTAATCAGAGCTTATAAATAGACTAATAAGATTCTGATTTAGGGGAGGTAATTAAACACTTTGAGATTTTGAGACTTGACCAAAATAAGAATAATTGTTTTTACTTTCTCTCGAACTCTCTCATTTTTTTCTCATTCTTGCATGGTTTAAGTGCTTTGATGGAAGGTTAAATCTCTCATTCAATTCGCATAATCCAAATGCTGTAATTTTGACTTGAGTTATACGCTAAATTACTTCAAGTTTGTTCTCTTTTTCTCTTTAATCTCAAAATTGTGTTAACTTTTCTGTTGTTAGAATTCAAATTAGGACTCGATTGATATTCTGATTTGAAAATTAATGTCAATTAGGTTAAATGATTATTTTATTTAATTCGTAACTCTGTTCAATTATATTATTCAATTAAATTAATAATTGAATTGGGTGATTGTTCAAACACAGATTTAAATTTTTAGATACTGTGATAGCCGAAGTTACATACATTTGGTTTTCTACAATTTTATTTTGTTCATAATCCAATTCTATTAATTTGCAATTTTTGAAACCCCAAAAATCCTATTTGTATTTTTTAAAAAGAAAACCTAAAATTGAAATTGACTAAGAATGTGTCTTCGTGAATCGACCTAGGTTTGGCTCTACACTACAAAATCTTTAGAAAATTTAGTTGTTTTGATAGCGATTTGGCATCGTCTATCAATGATTAAGATGCATATGTAATACTTGGTATTCAATTGCTTTAAATTTTAAATTATATCGAGCTCTAGTTAGAAAATTTAATTTATAGTAAAATAATTTTATTTATATTATAAATTTGAATCACATATATATAACATAAAATTTTGGTCTTCATTTCTAACTATAAATTTAAGTTATGAAATGTATTTTAATTTGATCATGAATCAGATGTTATGCCAATGAAGTTTTCTAAAATTTTTCGATTGTATTAGTTTATATTTCTCCGTACAACTTTTCAAAATTATCCAAATCTTTTTATGAATTCAATTAAGTTTTATTCAAAATATTATATATATTATTAAAGAAAATGTTCAGGGGGCAAGTATACACATTGGAAAGTGATATAGGATTCTAAAATAAGTTCCCAAAATTATAGTCCCAATGGTCCCAATTATTCAGAATTTCTTAATTTAATTGTTTGAGCCTAAAGAATGCAAAATTAAATAAAAATAAGAATTCAATTATAAAACAAATTAGGAATAAAAGCAACACAGTACACGTCTTGGTTGAACTTATAGGAGAGAAACCTAGGGCATATAGGTTTTCTCATTCAATCCTTTATGTTTTTTTTCTGTTTAATTCTAAGTTTGATTTCCTTGTGATTATCAATCATTCATACAAATACTATCAATACTCAATAATCATGGAATATTAACATTTTTTTTCTCTAAACTAACATCTACAATGGTCATGCAAGATATCAATTCAAGAAAGTATAAAACACCTATGAACTTATTAATTTAATAACGATTAAAAGAGAAATATTGGTTTGATTCACCTAATCCTTTGTCTCATTCTATCATATAGATCTATTAACTAATCGAGATACGATTGTCTAATGATATAATTAATTAGGGTTATACAATTATGCGCAATCGAATAAATATTAATCACAGACGAAAATCAAACATAGATTCAAACTTCAAAATCCTATAAATTCATAAATAAGAATTATCATCTCCCTAGCTATGGACTTAGTTATTCATGCTAAAGAAAAGAATCAAAATGTTCATAAATAAAGTCATAATCAAGAGAAATAGTAAATTAGAGATGAGATGAGTTCCCAATCTTCAAGTACGATTGCTCAAAACTTCAAGTCCTGCTAATAGTGTGCCAAAGGGTTGAGAGTAGGGTAGAGAGATGAGAGGTGTATTACACAGCAAGGACTCTATATATAATAGGATACATGAGGTCCCTTTATAATAGAGTTTAAAAATCCTAAAAGCTCTTCATTAATTGAGTTTGCCGCAGATGACGCAAGGCCAAAAGCATAGTCATGCAAGGCCATAAGCATGATCATGCATGGGCTCGAAGCACTCTTGTACTTGCTTCTAAGGTCAGGGTATGCTGACTACTGCGAAACTCTATTCTGCAACCAATTTGGCCGAAAACATGCTTTAAACCTAACAGTGGCCTTCTTATGCTAAACTGCAAAATTAGTATATCAATTAGTGCAAAACTCAAATAAAATAAAGGTCAAACATAAATATATAGGCTATAAAAATGGGTCTAAATATAGACTTATCAAGAAATTATTCAAATTATAGTAAGGATGTTACAAAGAGTGTGAGAATTGTATGCAAGTGTGTTGTGAGTGGTGGTGCAAAAAGCAAAATGAATACTCATGGAGTCATAAAATTGATTCAGGCCTTTTTGAAGGACTTAGGAGAAATTGGCACTAACAAGTTGAGAGTGAACTTAATCACACCATCAAAATTAGGCTGCTATTGAATCAGATCCAATAAACGCTCATATTAGACTAGGGTCAAAGAAAAAATTAGTCCAAAAGAACCTTCCTTCGAAGTGTGAGATGCTTCTGATGTCTCCTCTTGTGCAGCATTGTTGACAGAAGAGTGAGAGTCATGGTTATGGAACCTCGGGCGTCCTGGGTAGTGAGGACGGCTAGAAGTATATCCATGTTTAGCATAGCAAATGCCAATTAAATAGGACAATAGCAAAGAAAGCTTTGAAACAATAATGGAAGGAATGATTCTATTGTGTATTGCTAAAAATATGAATACAACATATATATATATATATATAAAGTTGTGTCCTAAGGATAAGAATAAATAATGTGACCTAAAATTAAGAACGAAAAAGTACAGAGAATAAAAATACCTCTATTTATAGCTCATTAAGGTTCTAAAAACTACCAAGAAAAGTTATCAGTTGTGTACATTTTGTTTCTATAATGTATATGTACAAAGGCTAATTGTGTTGTATGAGCTGAATCAATCATGGGTCAAATTGGGCTCTTTTGTTAATGGGAAGTCCTTATTCATTTGATAGGAGGAGGTAGATAGTAGATAAAAAGAAAGATCAAAGTAGAATAAAAACAACATGGATAACAACAAAAAATAATTAGGTTTTCCTTGAAATGAATTTTCAAAATGGAGGTGAGACTCACACCACTTTAGTAGATGTGGAACACCCCAATCCATAGCTATCTTTATGTCCATTACGGAGTAAAACCTATAGTTTAAGTAGGTTTTTAGTCCTCACAATTTAATAAATTTTTTATTTTAATTTTTTCAAACGAATTTTTTTAATTTAGTTCTTATTTTTTTATAAAATTTTATTTTTAGTTCTTATTATTCCATTAAAATACTGTTAAGTGCTAACTTTTAGTTGTACCATGTTAGTTAGAAGAACTAAAAATAATAATTTATAAAAAATAAAGATAAAGTTAAAAAAAATTATTTAAAAGGATTAACGTAATATATTTTTCACGCAAGCGTTAGTAAAAAAAACATTATTTTTATCAGCTTCAAAATAAAGACTTTTTTCTTAACTCAAGAAAGACAAGCATGGAAGTTGCAAAAAAAAAAAAAAAAAACATTTTCATTAATTTATTGAAATCAATAAGCTAATTACCGCTCTACTACCAAGGCATAAGATCAACTAACACAAGATTGTAACGATATACAATTAAATTAAAAAGATAAATAACGCAACAATCACAACTAAATTAAACTAGAAATAGCAACAACTTTGCTATATGATCTAGACTTAAAAAGACAACCTACATGCCTTCCGTTTTTTTGTTTTTCTACTAGAGTGCTTAGACAACCACAGCATTATTTAACTAACACAAATAAATTATAAGAGAGAAAACATTCACAATTGATCATTTGGAACTTTGTAGAGGGATATCAATGCTTCTATGAAATGCATCTTTCAGTAACTTTGACCTTCAAGCCATGTTCCATGCTAAGTACAACAGAAAGCCTTGGGGCAATAGGATGACCATCCACCACCTGCATGTGAAACTTCCATAGTATAGTAGCTGCAACCATCTTCATTTCAATAAGGGTAATGTCTTTACCCAAACAACTTCTAGGTCCAGCATTGAAGGCTATGAACTTGTAAGATGGTATGTGTACAACGTCTCCTCTTTCTGATATCCATCTCTCAGGCTTAAATTCCAAGTAGTCATCACCCCATATTTGTTCCATCCTTCCCATTGCGTACAAAGAGTACAATATCACTGTATTGGGACTAACATGATCTCCACTGGGGAGTATGTCAGATTTAATTGCACACTTGTGGTCAAATGGCAAAGAAGGAAAAAGCCTCAAGGTTTCACATACAGCTCCATGAAGATAAACTAGCTTACCAAACTTTTCCACATTTGGAACAACCCAATTTCCTTCTTGGCTTAGACAGTTATCTCTGATCTCTTGAAGAAGTTTTGCTTCCACATGTGGGTGAGTTGAAACAAGCCAAAAGAACCAACTGAGACCTGCACTAACAGTGCCACTTCCAGCAGCAACAAGACCAAATGCAGTGTCTCTAATATACTTGTCATCCATTACTTGACCCTTTTCAGCTCTTTCCTCCAGTATCCCTCTTAGCAGGCCATATTGAGATTCATCCACTTCTTTGGTGCTGTTGCATCTTCTTTTCTCTTCAAGTTTAGATGCAATACATTCATGCAAGAATTTCTCAAAATTTTCCTTGGCTTCCTTGAACTTCTTCTCTGGACCTATTTGGAGCCATTCTTGCAGCTTCCATAACCACCTTGGAATGATGTGCCTGTAGAATACTACATCCTCCATCACAATTAAGGCTTTCTCATAAGCAAAGTGAGAGAGCTCAGAGAAACTTTTTGGGAGGCAATTAGGATCAAATCCAAACACAATGGAGCAGGTGGTGTCAAAGGTGAACCTCTGAAAGGCATCTTGCAAGTCCAACTCAGTTCTAGCTTTGGATGCATGTTCCAGAAATGGTATTAGGCAATTTTCCAGCTTCTTCTGAATGGTTTGTTGAAGGAAGATCTCAAAGCTTTTCCTTCTAAGCAACGAATGGAGTATTGTCCTCTCTTGTTTCCATGCATGGAAATCAGCATTGAAAATCCCACCTCCAAAAATTTCGAAAATCTCATTGAAATTGGATCCTTTTCCATAGTTGCCAAAATTCTTGCTTGTGATGTGGTGAACGTTCATGGGATCACTGGTGATGATGAAGGAGGAGTTTGAGAACCAGGGTCCTTCAAACAGTGCAGTGCCTCCATATTGTTTCAAAGCTAAGGTTGTATAATCATGGATATTGGACAGATTTTGCAGAATAGCAGGTAGCATGCCAATGATTGGCCATTTTTGTAAAGTTTTATTTCCATTGCGTCTACTACTCCAGAAGAATATGAAGAAGACAATGGATACAAATAGTCCAATATACACAAGCATGGCTGTTGTAGATTGAACTGGGAAAGTTTCAAATTGAGTAAACATGGAGGATTTTATGCTGATATTTATATGTTCAATATGCATTCAACACTGAAGACAGGTTTGGTAACGATCACACAATGATTTATTGTCACACCAACGTGTAAATTGTGTTCAATTTAATTTTTTATAAAAAATACTCCAATTATTGAAATGATTAAATGAGAGAGAGAAAGATATTTTAATCAAAAGTCACTCCAAAATAGTAATAAACATTTATGAGTGGTAATAAACACAGATACAAAGGGGGCTCCACAAATTCATTGACGGAGGGCTAAGTTTCAAAAAATTTATTGAAGCATCAGCATTGGAGGAAACTGTTTGGTGATGATCATAAAGAACCTGACAAATTCATTAATGATCCTTTGAATAATTAAGAGCTTGACTTAATTTAGTGAAAAAATTATATAAATTAAATTGTCTGAATTAGCTGGATTGCTCAAGGAAAATCATTTTTGTACACTTTATTGGAATATAGGAAGTAAGATAAAGAGAAAAAAAATATAAAAAAAGTAAAATATAATAAATAGTTTGTTGTGAAAAGAAAAATAACGTGAAAAGGATAAAAACATTATAGTGTATACTCAATTATACCACAATATTGTGATGGTAGGCAAGCTGCATTTTCAATGGTAAGACCATTTCAATATCTTACTTATTTTAACATAATAGACAAATAAATTACATGCATATAAAATATTTGTTGGAGTAAAATAAATGCATAGGTAAATTATACTCTTGTTCATAATATTCATAAATTAATTTTTAGCTGTTTTACTTTTATATTAAAATGCCGGCTTAGTTTATTAGAAGTAAACAGTGTCGGCAGGTAGTATTCGTACTCGATCTCATGCTTATGTTAATAGTAATTTTGAGGGTAATAATTTTAATCTAAGTACTTATACTATTTGAATATTTATATATCTCCAAACTCATCTTCATTAAAATTTACTGTTATTTTTCCATACTCATATATTTAGTGAGTAAATCCTCTATCTCTGTTTGTTGTGAGTACCCTACCGGTTGTTGTCTCTACACCTAACTCGTCTTTGCATTTCTTTCTCATTCTCTCTCCATTTTCAACATATATCCAAGAATTTGGAACTAATATCCGATAAAGCTTTTTGGCTTATATTCTCTACTAATATGTTATCCCATAATAATGTTTTAACGACTGTTAAGCATATAAAGTAAGTGCATTGAGTCTCGTCAATGAATTTAAATTGTTAACAAGTAACTGATATAATTAGGTTAAAAACTATACTTTTTATCAAATAACTCACCTCAATTAATTATGGGTCTCACTAAGTAAAATAAACAAAAATTATCTTTTTCTTTGTAATATAACCATGTTCTATTATTCAACGCGAAAAGATTCATATCCCTCGTCAACTAACTCGAATAGAAGCTCAGCAGCTTCTGTAAACTAGATTAAAGAAAAAGGTTGACAGAGAGATCATGAGTGAAACTCGTTTTATGATTATATTATCTCTGAATGCTAAATATATCTATTTGTTGACTTGAATGGAGTTGATAATTGGTTAACCACCTGAATCAGTAGTAAATATTTATGTAGTTAATTGAAAGATGTGGTCTTTGTTGGGTAGCAAGGACATACCTACTGAAATAGGCACCAACCAATCACATTAAAAACGCAAATACGATATTTCCAAGTTTCTTTTCCACGTGAGTACACTATTGTAAAAACGTAAAACTTCATGTTTCAAAGTTTCCTTCTGCGCACAACAGCCTCTTCTCATTGTGCATTATCGTTGGGTCGTGACTAACACTTCCTTCTCGAAGGAAAATAACAAAGCATTCAGCATATTGGGTGCAAATGTCATTGAAACTTCAGTGTCTTTCTAATTGCTTTCCAAAGACATTGACATTTCTTCGAATGAGCTCAATCGTCCACTATTTTGAAATCACCAACGTGGACTCTTCGAATGCGGTTTGGGCAAACAAGGTCGTTGGTGTTATGCCTAAGACCAATTCTTCTACTTCGATTAAAAGACTCCCATAGTATCTTGAATTTTTTTTTGGGCCCAACTCCCGCAAATAAAAATATGGCAGCAGGGTTAAAGTTATTAGAATGCACATTAATTTAAAGTCTTACATAATTTGTAACCATTTTTCAGAACCAATAATATTAAATAAAAATGACATTACTGTTAGAATGATCATAATTTCTCTTGAATTAGATTGTCCAATGTTGATTTTAAAGATGGTAATAATTATGTGTAGAAGTTCACTATTTAAATTTATTTCTTTCTCCGCTAATAAGTCTTACTCATCTCAATTAATGGTTTCCTTAGGCTATTGCCTTTTTCTTTGGACTAATATCATAAGATAAGATTGACACTAGTGCTAAAATGATCAAAATTTCTCCTAAATTAAACTGCCTAATGTTGGTTATTGGCATAGAATGCTGGTAATTCAGTTTTAAAGATGATGGTAATAATTGTAATACTCTAAAATTTCACTGGTTCTAAATTAATTATTAATCATATCAATTTAAATAAATTAAAATTAGATCATATATGGAAAGTTAAAAACTAAAGCACACTTAACAAAATTTACACACAAAAAAAAGGCGAATTAAGAAAAAATCGGACAACATAATTATAGGATAACTCAATTTTAATAGAGATTAATTACCTAAAATTTTATAAATCATTTTAGACCATCTACATTAGGTATTACAAAATTATAATCAATTGGAAAAAAATAAAAATAGAAAATTAAATATAAATTGCAAAAAGATCAAAATACCTCTTAAATAGGCCTAGAATAATGACTCAATTTAGACAAAAAAATAAAAATAAAATTGATATTTTTATGAAAAATTATCGGGCCAAATGAGGTTATAGTCATTCAAGAATTAGGCTTAAACCTCAAATAGAAAATTCAAACCAATTTTTCTAAATTTTAGGCAGATTGGGCAAAACTTCCAATTTTATAATCCTATCTTACCCAACCCAAGTGGCATAATTTTTAGCATGAAAAAGGACCCAATTTGTCAATAATTAAACAATGGATCAGCTGAAGTGAATTAGATCAATAGAAAAGGAAGCTTGATTTACTAAAATTCATTAAAAATAACACTTAAGTCAATGATCTAATCCTTAACCAAGAGGCCTAACCAAATGCCAACCAAACTAAATCAAACTCAGCCAAAAAATAGTATCATGTGAGGAGAAAAATGTGAGGTGAGTAACCAAGAATTAAAGACAAACTAAGCAAGTACATTTAGGCAAACTAGATGAAATCATAAGGGTCAAAATTTTCACATTGAAAATATTGTTGGGGACTACTTTCGACAAAGATAAAAGCTAATTTTGGGAGAGACTTCAAAAATAAAGTTACTCCAATTAGACCTCTCTAACCATAAAAGCCAAGAAAAAAATTGAAAGATACCCAACAAAGACAAGGCCATTTTCACATGTAAAATGGAGTATAAATTGAATATTTAACCAAAAATTATAAATCTAGCCATACTAAGCTCTTTTAAACACTTGACCACATCCAACATATACAAAAATTAAACTTCACCACTCAGCCATATCGTCTTCCATGCCAACAAAGTAAAAAAATTCACTACGCCAGGAAAGAGATGTGAGAGTGGTTCTATTTTAAATTAGAGAGCATTTAAAACTATTCTAAAATCTCACACTATTTAATATGTTACATTTAAGAAAGTAGTTAAACAACCGCTCACAAATATTAAGATTGGAGAGCGGTTCCATGTGGAATCGCTCTTATAAAGTAAATGTCACTTGGAGAGAGTGATTTATATAACCGCTCTCCAAAGTATAGGTGTAAACCGCAAATTTGAAATTTAAAATTTATTTTTTTGTGAGTTTTTGTTACAAATTAAAATTAATTTATTATTACGTTTAAATTTTATAGGTTTAATATTCAAAATTTTTTTATTTTTATCACAAATTAAAATTGAATCTTGAATTTATATGTTGTGTTAACTAAAGATAAGTAAGCAGAGATGATTCATCATTAATAGAGAGAAAAAAATGGATGATTCATTGTTAATAAAAAGAAAAAGATAGAAACAGAGAATGGAGAAAACTGTGAAAAAGGTACTTATAGGTGTGAAAATAACCAATTTGTTGCGCAAAGAAGACAAAGAGAGCAAAGAATACGAAGAGAATCTAATAGCGTTAAAGAGACCAAAAACACTAGCTTAGTTAACGCAAAAAAATACAAAAAGAATATATAGAGGTGAAAAAGACCAACTTTGTTAGTAAAACGAAGAGATTTATGAGTTGAGCGTGCTTCATTTAGAAAAGTTAAAGACTTTGGAGAGTGGTTCTCTATTAACCGCTCTCCAAGAGTGACTTTAGAGAGCAATTCTTTATTAACCACTCTCTAATGTCTCAGAAGTATAAATCTGAAAGTGAGTCTTTATTAATTATTCTCTAATGTGTGACTTTAGATAGCGGTTATCTAAGAGCAGTTCAATACTAACTGCTCTCTAAATGTATTGTTATAAAGTGGTTCAATGCTAATCATTCTCTAAATGTATTGTTATAAAACGATTTCTACTAACCGTTATCTAAGTTAGCACTCTAAAAGCTTCTTTCTCGCGTAGTGACCCTTAAGCAAACGAACTCCAACATTTAAGGATCATTGTGGGCACACTAAAAGCTGACTTAAAAGGGCAAGAAAGAGGTTCAAATCGGACCAAGAAAGAAAAGAGAGAGAGGAGACCAACAAATACTTGCAACCAAACCAAAAAAGATAAGACAAAATCAAGTAATGGAGCAAAGTATAGTTCATAAATTGGAGAAATAATTTTGTTAAGTATTTTTTGAGTCAAGGGGAATTCTTAACCCTTATATTGAATGAAAATTTCATGGGTCTAATTAATACATGAAAACAAAATTGATTGAAATAAAAAAAAATCTAAAGAAATCATTAAAAACAACGAAAACAAGAAATTCAGTAAGAAAAATCTTAACAAAAAGTAAATGAGTATTTTAAGGAGATTT